TTGGGTCCACCCTGGCTCTGGTGACTCCCTTGGGACAAGGCCTGGCAGCTGCTGAAGGAAGCACTGAGGATTCAGGAAGACCACATGCGGGGGAGAGGGGTAATGGCACTCAGGGGGGCATGGGTGTGGGTCTCTTGCAAGTCTAAAGGAGATCCCCAAATCTTTCAACCTTACCCTTTGCCCTTTCTAACTTGGAATTCTCATTCTTAAACTGCCCTGACCCTTCCCATTAAATAAAGAAATAGGACGTCTCTCTGCACCGCCTGCTGGGTTGGTCTTGTGGCAGCTGAAGGGTCAAGTGGGCCAGAGATGGGGTAGAAGTGGGTCCTATTTCATTCAAGCTCCACCTGGTGCAGATGTCTCCACTCAGTTCAAAAGGATTCCCGTTAGTTTTGTTTTGAAGGCTAGTACCCCAGGGTTGCCCCAGTTCCTCCAGTCTGCTGGCCAGCCAGCGATTGGTCCATGTGTTCCAACACCCTGAGCAAGTAAGGCTTCCTTCGGCGGCTACTGAGAGGTCAGTGTGTACAGGTGGAAGAATGTTTTGTCAAGTTTTAATGTTTATTCTGGCCTTTTCTTCCCTAGCTCCTCAGTGCACACATGTGGGGTCACAGTCAGCCTGCAATGTCCCAAGAGCCTGGCCCTCTCGGGTCTCCTGCCTGGATGTGCTGAGAGCTTTTCAAGTCTCCCTGTTGCTGCCTCATTTCCCACATCCCCCTGCTCCACCTCTGGCTAGTTTGCTGGTCTCACTTGTCCCAACCAGAACCACAACCTCAGGCTGCTTTAACCGATGCTGTTCCCTGATCATTCACCAGGGAGAATGTGACTGTTACTGACAAGGCCACTGGGTGTGGGGGGTCTTAATGCTCCACTCCCAAATCAACCAGGCCTCTCTGGCATCAAAGCTCCTGGTTTTCATGACCTGCCTCACATTGGGAGAACAGACCTTGGGAGTTCATCATAAATAACCAGTTCTCAACTGGGTGTGCAGCTTGGGTTGATTTACAGATCTCTGCAATGGCTGTTTTTGACAATTTCATCCAGTCTTATCATGGCGCCTCACTCTGTTATCCCGGAAAGTTCTGCTGGCCTTGACTTCTAAGGGCTCAGAGGTAAAGGTGCAGGCATAGAAAGACCTGGAGGACAGTATGACAAGGGACCTTCCAGTAAAGCCCCTACATTTGCATAATGCTGACCCTTGAGAATGGAGAGAGAAAGCTACAAAGAATTCATCTCTCCCTCTATCTGTTCTTTCATTTATCACAACTTGATCGAGCATTCAGCATCTCGGGCACTTTTCTGGAAGTTCGGAGAACACAACCAAAACCAAATAACTTTACTCTCCAGAAAATGTGTACAGGGAAGAAGGAAGCTGTGGTGACAGTGGCCCAACAGCAGCGCTGAGAGGCTGCACAGGACCGGGTAGGAGGGGAGGGTTTGGTGGAAGTGCCGCCGAGAGGGGCGTTTTTCCAGCCTCTCCTGTGACTTCTTCAACCTCTGTCCCTGCAACTGCTTGACACCCTGCCGTCCTTACCTAGAGACCCTGCAGCTGTATCTCTCGCGTCTAACATGCAGCCCACTTGCTCTGGGGGGACTGTCTTCCCTGCTTTATATCACAAAACTCTAGACAGCAGTTCTTTATCTTCGACTGAGAACTGTTTCAGGCTCTGGCATAGCAAAGTGTCTGCAGACAGAGATAAGCTGTGTTTTCATATTTTTGTCTACAAAATTAATGATCCACAACTACAATAAAACCATCATCTCCTGTCACCAGTGGGGATCACAGGACATTTTGAGCTTTTTTTTTTTTTTTTTAAATCCAATAACACAAAACCTCAATGGCAGAAAGTGAAGATGTTTTTATTTTTTCTTTTCCTTCAATAGCATTTGCATTTGTTTAGAAATATAGAATCATAAAATATTGTTGGAGCATTCCTGGGAGATTTTCTAGCTCAAAGCCCGTACTTTGCCAGTGGGGAGATAGGAGGTGTGTCCAAGGGTGCTGGCTCTGCCTCTGCCTGGTCCTAGACCTGGCCTCTCCATCATCAGCCGTGGCTTCCATTCCTCAAATCTGCATCAGCGAGTCTACTCCCTCACCTGAGCAGGAGGTACCAGCCAGCTCTTGCTGAAGTTCCCCAGGCCAGCTGACTCTTGTCGCCCCATCTGTACCTGTTAAAGCCAGGCTCCAACCCCTGCTCAGGACTCTGCTCCCGGCCACCCCCCCTTATGCTTCTCTCCAGAATCATGGGACCCTGTGGAGTGGGCTGACACTGGACAGGTGGACACATGCATGGTTGTCCTACTTGTTAAACACAGAAATGTTTGCATCCCAGTTGGCAGACAGCTGCTGCCTGGTACCTGGCAGACCCTCTTCCACTACCTTGGCCACCCAATAATCCAGGGGCTGAGGGGTTAACTCTGGCCAGCAGGGGCCTCCAAGTCCTTGCTCTGGCCCAATGCTGCTGCCTATTCTAATATCCTACTGAGTGTTCATTATTTCAGTATCAGCATGGTTAAGATCCGGGATACACAGCCTAACTGGGTGGAAACCCCTGTCCCTCCAGCTCTGGGGATGATGGGTTGGTCACTTAAATTCTCCAAGCCCCAGTCTCCCCACCTGCAAGTGAGGATGTACACCGCACAGGGCTGCTTTGAGATTCAACTAATAAGAATAGCCCTGTTTCTCTCTAAGCAGGTCTCACTGCCAGCATCCCATGCTGTGTCTTCACATGCCTCAATCAGCAGTGAGAATAATCTGAGGGCTTCTGGCTTGTCCTTGAGCTGTACACAGTCACCCACTAGGGACTGAGAGGAGGGACAGCGGGCTCTACCTGATGACCTTTCTCTCTCACACTACACTAGTGAAGCCTACAATCTCCCGGGATGAGGCCTCTGCTTATCCTGATTGCTCAGTTTTTCTTCCACAGCAGGACCTGGGGTTCCACTCCCTCATAGCCATTGACTCTTCTGCTACATCCACACTCTAACTGCAGCCAGGGCCCTTCTCAGCCCATTCAATATCTTTGTGAGAATTGAAAAAAGGTGTTCCCCTGGAGAGGTGCATGACTGGACCACAGGCTGGATTTCAGGATCTACTCACCCCCTTGGACAGGGACCACCCGTGCCATGCACATCCTGTACATGTATGGATGGCATCTCTGCTCGAAGCACTTATAAACATTTAAGAAAAGCACTGAGAGATTTGCAAACACTGGAGTACATAAAGAAACAGCTAACTGCAATCATTAGCCCAAGCTCTGCTTTACAATCAAACAGCAACTAATAAGAAAAGCACCCCAAACCCTTAATGCTTTTCAATAATAATTTGTCTACTGCTTTCTATGTGCTGTTCTCTGAAGACACAGACATGACTTGGATCTGCATTCAGTCCCTGAGGGGTTTGGAGTCTTGGAGAGAGGCAGCTGCAGAGAGCTGGAGCCCCAGCTCCCCTAAAGCCTACTTGGGACTCTGCCTTGGGGTCAAGGACAGGGAGGCCCTTCTGTAGCTGAAATCCAGAAGTGAGTGCCCTTGAGCAGGGAGCCACCAGTGCCTTCCAGGGCGGTTCTTTGCTGTCAGGGCTGGGCTTCAGTCTGACTTCTGCTCCTCCCAGAGAGAAACGCAGTTCTCCTCACTTTCACCTGCACTCTATTTGCAAGTCCCTCAACGGATTCAACCAGGCTGAATGTGACTTCTCAAATGGGTCAGCCCCTGGAGGTCAGTCACTGGCCCATTGGCAGTGGGCAGCACGTTCCCTGCACAACTTTGCAAGTGTAGCAGTGTCAGAGAGATGACACGCTCAACCCGTGCAGGGTTTGAGGACGAGCGAGTTTTGCAACCACGTGTTCCTGGAACAAAATCACCTTTGTATGGTATTAATGTAAAAGTTTCATTTAAAAGACACCAGCTGTGGTCCTACCCAGGTTTATTCATATGGGACCTTCACTGGGTCAACTTAATACTTAACTACTGCTTATTATCCCATCAGTCTTCAGGGACAACCCATGATCTAATTGCCCAGCATTTATGTTGCTTGGTAACCACAAATAGAGAATAATAGTCCTTAAAGGGGCAGTGTGGAATTTCATGCCCCTGCAGTGAAGTACACTTCATTTCCCAGAGCACCCTGTGTTTTTTAATTCAGTGAATAAAAATGTGTAATGAATAATTAATTATGTGCTTGGAGGCACAATAGCTGCCTACTTTTGAATATTCATCAGTGGCATTATTAATTCACTAGAAATCCCAGGGAGGAATGGGATAGGCTTTTAGCCTAGCTGGAGGACTTAAAGATAATGCTTTGCAACGCGCGACAAACTTTTTGAAAGCCCACTTTTCTTTGGGAGACGCTTTCTGGGTAATTTTCCTCTTTTAAGAACATTTCGCAGTGGCCCGATTCCTGCACAGCTGGTGGGACGCAGAGACCACCAGTGACCATGAAAAGGGCCCACTCTGGAACTCCCGCCTGGAAAGTGCATTAATAACCAGGCCTACTCGCCTCCCGCAGCCGCGAGCGTGCTAATGGGCGTGCGAGGCCAGGCCACCGGGCGGGAGCCCGTGTTCATGTCCAGAGAAGAAAGCGGAGCGCCTTTCGACAGCTTTGCGCTTGCCACCTCGGGCCGCTCTCCTATCGTGGAGACCGGGCCAACGGTCCTCACTTGCAGCTGAGGGAGGCCCGCCGCGTCCATAGGACCAGAACCCTGACCCTGGCCTCCCTCTGGGTCCGTTGCATGCGGCCAGGGCACCTCGCTGAGGGGTTCCGTGATGGCCCCGGGGGTTGGTGAAACTCCCGGCCCCAGGCTCTCGGTAAGCCCGAGAAAATCATCCCGGACTGGGTTTCTATCCTGCCCCACGCTGGCACCCAGCTTCCCTCTAACCCTCTTCTACCCGAGGCTGCAAAATCGCAACCTGCCAATGCCACATTCCCAGGCTCCCTTGCGCCTTCAGCCAGTCACGTGACAGAGTGCTGGCCAATGGGATGCAGGCGGAAGTTGCTGGGCGGAGCTTCTGTGGGGTCTTCTTAAAAGGCGGGGAAGGCGCGCTGTCTTGTCCGGCAGCCTTTCTTCCTCTTCGGTTTGGGGAGGCGAGGTGACATAAGCTCCAGCAGTCATCTTGGACTAGGAGATAACGCCGAGGGTGAAAATGAGGCGCCCAGAGGTTGGGTAAGAAAGCTAGGAGGAGCCTGGATGACTCTAGAACTGCCTTTACAGCCTGGAATTGCCACCCTCTGGTCTTCTTTCACTGGACATGGAAATGAACCTCCAGCTTGTTTAATCTGAGTTGTTCTGGTGTTTATTCTAGAACTCAGTTTTAATGGCGATCTTCTGCTTGGGTTCTATCATTGTTCCTCCTTTTTTTTTTTTTTTTAAAAAGATTTCTTAGCATTTGATCTTTCTGATGTAAGTCCTTTTGTGTTTGAAAAGTGAGTTTCTTGAATAATAACAGCATGTGCAACTAACACAGAACAGAAGTAAGAGCCTTAAAACCAAAGCCCTGGTAAGGAGGGCTGGAGACCTCTTGGGTCCCCTTGGAGCCTCAAGATCTTGAATGGAAAAGGAAAGTGGAGATCACCTGATTTAGGCATCTCTGTAAAAATAACTTGGAAAAGTCCTTTAGTTTGGGGCTTTAAATAGTCATTGAAAGATTATTCTAGCCTGTTGAACACACACTCTGAAATGAGAGCTTCCATAGGTCACCATATATGAAATACTAAAGGATACTCATAGTTTATCTATTACCAAGGAAGAAAAAATTGTGCCAGTTATAATGTCGCCATAAGGGTACTGGAGGTCATCTGGAGGAGACCTTCACTCAGAACTTCCAGGCTCTTGAATCCATTGCAGAAAAGAATCTATGAGTCAGGCTTTATTGAAGAGAGGAAGAACTGTCTTGGAAAGTGAAAGGTGAAAATACCAGCTCTCAGCAGGGTGTAGATCAGGAGGGAGATGCACCACCTGAGCTTAATGTCAGAGTTTTATTATGGTGCATAATTAAATGGGATATGTATGATCCAGAGGGGCTGGATTTGCCCTGAGACTGGGAAATATTGAGCAAGATTGTGTTTTCTGATTGGAGTTCTGGGCTGGTATTAAGGTTTCAGATCACATCAGTGTCTCTGGTGGTTGGGTGATTGATCCAGTGATTGTGTCAGAGGGTCATGGTCCAACCAAATTTTAGCCTCTAGACTGACGATTTAATAGTCTCTTTCTATTGAGGTCTTGTTCCTGTTTCACTGTCTTCTTAGAGTACTTAAAAAGTAATTTAAGGGCTGTTGAATGCATTCTTTCATTTGACCCTTTTCTGTTCCTTAGGCTCCTTTGTCCAGCTCATAAGTTATTTATGAGTTGTTTGCTCTGTATTTTAACAGATATTTTTCCTTTAGAGATTCTGTGTTCTCCAAATTTATCTCTCAATAAAAGGCATCCATATTTCAGGAATTTTTAATGTGAAAAATGTGCTTTTTAGCCTCCATGAAATACGGTATGTATAGTTAACTATACAGTTGACTTAAGCATCATTATCCAGAACTCCATAACCAACTGTAGCTACTACAAAGAATCACAACAATTTTCTGTTCCATTCTTATCAAGAGAGAGGCGAGGCCTTTCGGAGTTCCAGGCAGTTTTTGTACCACAATGAGAATTCGCAGAAGGAGATCAGTTTCTGGAATTGGGCCCTATTTCTATTTGCAAAAAAAAAAAAAAAAGTCTTTGTCTCTGTATTATTTTCTGTACTAATTCTCTCTTGCTGGTGACCCTATTAGTTTGTCCTCTCTGTTCTGCTCAGGAGAACACCCACAGATGGTCAACCATTCCCTAGATCATTTGGTCCTCTCTCCCTCTGCTCTTGAGCTGTGTGTGGGTGGGTGGGGGACTGAGCTGCACTTGTATTTGGTGCTGGAGATGATTTCTATATCCAGGTACCAATCCACATTCTCCCTCAGCTACTGGGTCACTTGCAGCTGGTGGACCCAGCTCATGGACAGCTTCCTGCCTCAGTACCTGAGGCTCTTTTCTCTGCTTAGCATTTCCCCATCACCAGAAATTGCTCAGTCCATGGTGGGTCAGTGCTCCAGCCTCCTCATCCTCTTATGGAGAAGTCTGTGGCCTGTGCACATGGTTTCTCAGAGGTCCCAGCAGGACTGAGCTCCAGCTTTCCACTCCATAGCCCCTGCCTTATTGGGTTTCTCATGTCTCATCTCATTTCCAGTTTCTTGTGCCTCCTGGGCTTGCCTTCCAAGAAGTCTACTACCCCGAAGTCCTTTTGTCAGGATCTGCTTTGTGGGGTGGGCTCTCTTTACCAGATAAAGAAGAATGAAGAATGTCCAGGCTGAAATGGCTTCTCCTGACAGACACAAAAGCTGACACCATGTAAAACATTTTTCTTGTGGCTGCAGCCTAGGTTTTGTGATAGAATATTGCAGTAATGGCCGCAGGTGGGTTATACCTCCAGGTTCTGTGTACAGCACCCCTCCTTATTGACTCTGGTCTGGGCCCTATGATTTGTTTGGGTCAATGAAACATGAACAAATATAATGTAAGAAGAGGCAATAAATGCTTGCACATTTGACCTTGCTCCTTTGAGGCAGTTCTGCCGATAGAGAAAGAAGCCCAGGCATATCCATGTAGTTACTCACAAGCCTCCCCTGCACCAGATTCCAATTTGAAGACACTCCATTTTTTTAAACAGTCCAAATAAGCAAATTTTTATTCATTTGTTGGTGGGCTTTATTTATATGCCTGTGAAACTGTGCCTACCATCTTCTAGCCATAGGTAAGGTAAATCCTGTGCTAGGAAGTCCCTAAGCTGCTGTTTCCTTCGAAGCTCTCTGACTTAGAGACTCCCCCTGGGCTGCTGAGCAGCGTTGCCTAGACAGCAAGACCCCCCTCCAAGCCCTCCCTTCCCAGGAGTTCCCATGCCCTTCTCCACCCTTCCACCTGGTGGCCCCTGGACAGTGTCATACTGTGAGCAAGCCTGTCAGAGTATCACCCAAATAAATCTCATGGTGTGCTATTATTGCCTTGTGACGAGATCTTTTTCTCTGCTTAGCCCTGAAAGCCCTTGAGCCCAAACAGTGGGGGAAGTCAGAAAAGACTGGACCCAGAGGATGGTGCCTTCTAGACGGGCAGCGATGGGTGAGTTACCCACCCTGGAAGCTGTGGGTGCTGCAGCCTGGGAAGGCAGGCATAGATCTAGAGTCACAACCAGAGCACCATTTCCAAGAGAGGAGAGTGTGGAGAAGAGTGTGCCAGCTCCTGAGGGTGGACGCCGCTCAGAAGAGAGAAGAGGGTAGTTGGCGTTAGGAAGAATCACTACAGATCACAAACCATTCACCATGTAGTTAGTTCAACTTACAATTTTTTGACTTTACAATGAAGTGAAAGTAATACACTCTCAGTAGAAATTGTACTTGGAATTTTGAGTTTTGATCTTTTCCTGTACTAATGATATGTGGTTCTGTCCCCCTTGGTGATGGTGGGCAGCAGCAGTGAGCCGCAGCTGCTGTATGCCCATGATTGTGAGGGAAAACCACTGGCCCTCTGCATGTGCGTGGGGCTGAGGCGTGGTGTGCTGTAGGATGGGTGCATGCATGCATTTTCCGCTTAGGATGGGTTTGTCAGGACACAGCAGCGTTGTAGGTCTGAGGGCATCTGTGTGTCCTTCAAGTGGTGTGAATAATGGCTGCAGTTCCCATTTGGATTTCCCCGCTTTCAATGAGATAGTGTTGTGGAACTTAATATCTGACACACGGTGAATGTCCCTCCGATACTCTTTTTTTCCAGGATCCTCTAGTCAAGAAAACGTCTTCAGCAGATTTTTTTCTTTCACCAAATTCTGAGTCAAGGCACAATGTGTTCGTATTTAATGAGTGGAAAGTTGTCCATGCGGTCAATTGAAACCGTCCTTATCACCCTCACGAAGTCGCACCTATATGAAAGTGTTCTAGGAAGCTCAAGGGTGTGGATTTAGATCAATGAAGACTTTCTTGCATGTGTTCTTAGCTCCAGTTGAGACTGAAAGTAATGTTTACATGTATCTTTTATTCCTGGGAGTATAACATTGTGCTAATAATAACTATAAGAAAGCAAGCAAACTGTACATTCTAAATTTATCCCCCCTATGCTTTAAGTGAGGAGAGGAAAAATCATGAATAATAAATATGGAGATAAGAGAATGAAACTGGGAAATCAATTTACTGCAAAATATTTGCATATTTTATTAAAAGAAACCGTGTATGAGGCTTATAACTGGGTGTGATGATTTATATTTTGATTTGATTTGTGCACATGTGCCTCTGGGAGAAGTGACGAAGCACAGTCATCCATGTGGGATTTTTTTTCTCTCTCCTTGATATCAAAGACTCGTTGTGCAGCAGGGCTCTGAAGGACCTGGGTGTTGACTGTATAGAGCAGGAGCTGGGTCTGGAGGAGTTCTGTGGGTTGGTTGCAGAGCCAGGATTCATCTGGAGGAAAAGCGTTGTTCCAGATTGAAGGAACTGGAAAAGCCAGTCATTCTGAGTATGAGTTCGTCTCTTTGTTCAAAGTTAAGACAAGAATCCTTGTCTCCTGTTCTCCTTATAAAAACACACATGAAGATAGACAAATGCACATCTGGATATGTTTGACATTTATTTTGACAGAGATTAGAGAAGAAATAATTCATTGAATCCATACAAGACACCCCCACCCCTCCTTTTCCCCTTTCCAAGAGCAAGTTGTAGCAAACACATCCTTTTTGGGGGGAAGGGGCGGGGAATTTGTGGGATTTCTCCAAACACTCTCTGTCATATTAAAAAAAAAGTTTCAAAAGTGACATGCCTGTTGGCTACTGGGCGCCAGTACCCTGGGCTGAGGAGTGGTGGCCACGCACGTGCAGCCTGTGTCTGCAGTTCACATGTCCCCAAGCCCAAAGCTCCTTTTTCTGACCTCCGCTCTGGGATGATCTGCCTAGGAAACAGCTCTTCCCCTGCAGCTGCTCTACACAATCCCTGGTGGCCCGTTGCTTAGGGGTCCCCAGCTGCTCAGGAACCCCCAGGATTCCTGGCTGACACCTTTTTCAGTTTCCTATAGAGCTCTCCCACTCTTGGAGACCCCACCCTCCTTTGCTCTCGGAGCACAGCTGTGCCGCCTGCCAGCCCAGTTGGCTGTGGCTGTTTGGGTTGGTGCATTTCCCGAGTTGAAGAGTAACAAGGCAATGGCTGTGTGGGGAAGGGAGGTGCTCTTTGGGGAATGCCTTGTTTCAGAGTGGCAGGTCTGGGTTCTGGACCCAGGGCTGGCCTCAACTATCCAAGTGAATTTTGGGAAATATTATATCAGTTGATTTATCCATCCATCCATCCATCCACCCATCCATTCATCCATTCATTCACCTGTTATCGCAGAAGAAGCACCTGCCTCCAACAGGCATCATGCTGGGCACTGAGTACAGAAAGTAAGACACATGTCTGCTCAGGAAGTGCTCCCAGCCTGGTGAGAAATGGGATGGGGCAGCAATGGGCAGGAGTCAGAGGTAGCCAGCAGGAGGGAGAGTTCATGTCACCTGAGCAGGGGGCAGGGGAGAGGTGGCTTTGGAGCTGCCAAATCACAGAAGGGTCTGAAGGATCATGAGCCTTTGTAAATATCTTCCCATAGTAGGAAAGTGGACAGCAGAATATCTTTTAGTGCAGCAGACATTTTCCAAGGTGCCACTGGGGACTCGGGTCCAGGGCTTGTCATTTTGGATGGAAAGATGGTTGGTGTGAGGGATTCTCCAAGATTTTTGTTATCTGGCTTTTGAACTTGGGTCTCTGCCTTGGTTCGGCAGGACTCAGCCTCCAGTACGTTAGCAGACAAATGTGCCTTTGTGGTGTTGATGAGGAAATTGGGTCCCAGAGAGGGCAGGTGTTACTCATGGAGAGATGAGGTGAAAATAGAGCTAGAAAGAGAGTGAAGGTCAGAGGAAAGGACATGGGCTTCTGTTCATTTAGAAATCAACTCCACATGGCTTTTGAAGAATGGAGTGGGTATCTGATGCCTCCTGGGTCTCTTCCTCCTGGAACTGCTGCGCCATGGGAGTCCTCTGGATGTTGGCTCCTCTGAAAGGAGCTGTCCACCAAAGTATCCTCCCTCTCAAACATGGAGTGAGGTGTGGCTCAAGACCAATCAATTCTATTTTCTCCTGGGGAGGCCTTTTTTTTTTTTTTAGAACAGGGTCTTGCGATGTTGCTCAGGCTGTTTTCAAACTCACAACCCTCCTGCCTTAGCCTCCTGAATCGCTGGGATTGCTCCTGAGAGTCTTGTGGAGAGACAGAAAGGCAGAGGCTGGTGCTGGTCCATCCCAGGCCTGGCCTCCTGACAGATGCTGAGGGGTCCTTGTGCCCTCGATGTCCAGAGCCGCCCAGGTGCCGTCCGCACGCATCTGGTGCAGCTCTCCTTCTCGAGAGTGCCTCTGCGTGTGTGGCCTTGGGCCACTCCTCTGTGGTGCTCTGCCTGTTTCCTCATCTGTGCAAGTGATATTTATTAATCTTTCCCTGTGGTGTTGATGTGATGACAAGCAGGTCAGTGGGCGAGTGCGTTCTGCAAACTGTAAAGTGTGGTGGCCACAGAGGTCGTTATTACTGTGGTTACCATAAAAGGACAGTCAGTGGTCACACAGCGCAACCCAAGTGTACAGAGCTGCTTTCTGCTGGTGACTCCATTTAAAATACGCTGTGGAGGGACCCGGGGGAGCGTACTGTGCTGAATCTGTAGTTTTGCATTCTGTCATTAAAAGGAATTTCTAAAAATAGGCCCAGGTCAAAAAAGGTGTGCCAGGCAGGGACGTTTTTCAGAGCTTGACCTAAATCCCTCTCATCTTTTCCCCAAGCCGCTCACTTTCCATGGGAGACAGACCTGACCCAGCTTGTAGTCATTTTCTGCTGTGGAGAGGCCGGGAACCCTTTCTCTGCACAGTAGGGCGTCAAGTCCCACCTGGCAGCACAACCCTCTGAAGTGCCAGAGCCTGATTTGGCCTTCAGGAGCCTGTTCTTGCTTTAAAATGACTTCCTCCTTCAATAGAAGTTGGAGTCGTGAGCACAGAGCCCACGGACTCCCCTGTGATGTGCCCACGACTCTCTAGTTTGTGCCCCCAGTGCAGGCTGCTTTCAGACCTGTGCTGGCTAAGCCTTTCCCCTGCAGTCTGTGAACTCACCTGTCTGGGATAGTTCATTCCACACCAACCCTCATTCCCAGACTCCGCCTCCTGCTGCCCCCTCTGCCCACCTGACATCCAAGCCCAAGTGCCAACTCCTCCCAGCCCACTTTCCAGACAGCATTGAGTCCTGCCATGTCCATTCTGCTCCACCTGTGCCCACTCTCTCTCTCCATCTTCCCTTCTGGAAAAACCAAAGCTTTTTCATTATTGTTGTTATTGTTTTTTGTTTAAAGGGAGGGAAGGAAAAGAATAGCAAACGAGAAGGACAGAGATCTACAATTCCTAAGAACATACTTCCAGAGGTTCCCCTAGTCCACAGAGTATTAAAATGAAGTTCCAAAAAGTCAATGTATTGTTGGCTCATTTAGTGTCTTTGTGAGAGTTAGGAAAACATGACCCTGTGGGATATCACAGTCCTTTTTGAGGTCCTGGCTTGGCAAACAAAGTGCAGACCAGACTTCAACCTCTAATCACTGCCTTGCTTGGGAAACTACCTGCACAGCCATATAGGGCAGACTTGAAAATGACTTGCCTGAAATCCCACAATCAGGAGTCTTTGAGATGAGAAATTGGGACTTCAGATATGTCAAGTGCTTACTTCTTGAGCTCATGAGGATCCCTCTTTCTTCCCAGGCTGCAGCAGCATTTCAAAAGCAGATGACAGTGCAGCCCCTGCCAGTACCTGTCTCCCAGCATCTCAACTCTTTCTAATGAGCAGCAAATAGAGTTTGTTCACCATTGAGCCTTGGGAGTTTGGTGCATTGTCACTGTGCAGTGCTGAGGTGCCCTGGGGTCAGAGGTTCTTGGGTTGGCTGTATGCTTCAAGTTCACTAGGCCTGTTATGGTTTAAATATGAGGTGTCCCCCCAAAGCTCATGTATGAGACAATGAAAGAATTTTCACAGATGAAATGCTTAGATTATGGGAGGTGTAACCTAATTAGTGGATTAATCCACTGATGTGGATTAACTGGGAATAGGCAGGTAGGGTGTGGCTGGAGGTTACTGGGGGGTGCCTGAGAGATTTATATTTTGTCCTTGGTGAATGGAGCACTATCTGCTTCCTGTTGCCATGTCCTGAGTTGCTTTGCTCTGCTACATCTTCCTGCCGTGATATTCTGCCTCACCTCTGGCTCAGAGCAATGGAGTCAGGCAACCGTGGACTGAACCCCAGAAACCATGAGCCAAAGTAAGCTTTTCCTCTTCTAGGTTGTACTTGTTAGGTCTTTGGTTACAGAAAACTAACTAAAGCAGCCTTCCCAGGTTTCTGGGTGAGTGGATCATACCAACCTGTCCTTCTTGGTCCAGAGCCCGACACCTCCATGAAGCAGCACTGTGCCCTCATCCTCTCCATCCACAGACTCGGAAGCCAGGGCAGCCAGTGAGCATAAGTTAGACTCCAAAGCCCTCCCTCACTGCCTGGCCCCTAGAAGATCTGAGTTCTCTCTGTGACTTGGCCTCCAACTCACTGTGACTTTGGGACAATGACTATGTCTTTGAGTTTCTTCTTCACTAAAGAAAGAAGCTCAAAATCTTTCTGCCCACCTGACATCCAAGCACTTGGGCTTGGATGTCAGGTGGGCAGAGGGGGCAGCAGGAGACGGAGTCTGGGAATGAGGATTGGTGTGGAATGAACTATCCCAGACAGGTGAGTTCACAGGTTGTTGTAATAACTGAAAGGGAGATCAGTGATTTGCAAATATGAGGCATTGCCAATTGATTTCAGCACAGGGGAGCAGTAGCAGGCCAGAGTAGTTGAGCCCTGCGGTATCCTGCCAAAAAGGTGTGCCTCTTTGAAGGCTAAAGTGTGCCCTCCAAACAGCCCAATCAGTGAGGAGGGAGGAAGCCCTCAAGGTTACTTTCACTTCTGTAAACCGCAGTGACTAGGAGGCATCCTGAGCAGCTCTAGGCAATCAGATTTGGAAATGTATTGAAAGAACATGGTACAGTCTTAGGGTTCAAATCATTCTGTTTTCTAATACTTTTAGTGCTGTGGATATGATGTATAAGGAAACGAATCACTCTACTAAAAAAAAGTACAATTCGTTCTAAATAC